AAGTCCTGAATGACTGTTATTAAAGGTCATTTAATGAATTTTAATGATTTTCAATGCCCCGCAGAAACCCTGCCTTTGTTGGAAAAGTAAATAAATTATTTGAATTATGTTTGATTATGTTATAACACTTTTCAGTAACAATATTTCATATTACAGTAAAGTGTAGTAGCTTTTTTAAGTTTCTGAAATATCCTATAATTGTAACACTCAGAGGTAACTTGAACTCTATACTTTATGAAAGGAAAGGAAAACAAATTTGGCGGAGTTAAAAACAAACATTGGCCCTCCAGGAGCGGGACTGAGAACCCTGACTAGATCTTCACATTAATTGAATGTGATTTATCAACACCATCTTTAAATTTGCAACATCTGTTGTAAATATATGTATAGGCCTATGTTTAAATATATACATTTACTGTAATATGAAATATTGTTACTGAAAAGTGTTATAAGCAAACATAATTAAAATTAATAATTTACTTTTCCAACAAAGGCAGGGTTTCTGCGGGGTATTTAAAATCATTCAAATTCATTAAATTACCTTTCAATTTGTGTTATAGATTTTCATTTTCATTTCGCAACTTATAAAGCGTTCAAATTTGCATGCAATTTACATATTAAGACTACTGTTGGAAATGGCTAATGTAAATTATATAATTTAATTTTCATTTTACTTTTGCACCAAACTTTGCACGTATGGGTAATGGAAAATGTAAATTTAAACACAGAAATACAATGCCATTTTGAATATTGCGTTGCCATTTTGAATATTGCATTGCCAGTTTGCATATTGCATTTTAAATTGAATTCCGCTACCTATATGCTTCCATACATGACAGACAGCGGCACCGGTTAATGACAATGTAACAAATGCACCGACGTTAACAAACAAGCTAGATGAATTTCAGGGTCTACAGTTTAATCTGCCTTGTTTAAAATGATTCTTACTTTGCTGTCACTGCATACTGCGCTCTGCTGAAACAGGAAATTTATGTTTTAATTAGCTGTCTGTGTAATATTGGTTGGTGGAGATTATTATTAGTTGCTATCGCTATGAAATAAAGCCCAGTATTGCCATTATGATTACAGTTAATCACTCCAGCATATAAAGAGAAAAAAAACAAAAACACCCACTGAACGTTAAAATAGTAACTCCATGAATGTTATATGCTATATTGCTTAAAGTCTATGGAGGACCAAAAGCGTGCAAAACAAACAAAATAAATAAATAAATCTTATTTATTTATTTATTTATGCATTAATTAATTTATTCTCACATGTCATTCTATATTTATTTATTTATACATTTATTTAATTTACTTATTTCATATAGAAACTTTGTATTTTTAAGGTTTCACCAATGACAATTTCGCAGTTCACAAAATGATTAAACGATACGCAGCAAGCCAGCGTGTGGAGCAATGTACAACATTACTAGCAAAGGATTTCAGCCCTCCTACACTATCGAATGAAATGTGTGCTGCACTTGAAATAGAAAAGAACAAAGTATCACAGCTCACATCTGAGTGTTACACGTTCTGTACTAAGAGGCTTAGCAACACCGACAATACAAATAGTCACAGAAAGTGAGAGAAATGTGGGCAATCAAGCATCTCTCAGACTGAACAAAGCCATTCCAGAGCTGGTCACTATCAAAATACAGTATCTAATTTGTCTATTTGAAGACTTTAGCTGGGATTTAATGTCTTCAAACGTTCACTGTGAGCATGTCAGACTCCGGCTGGCCTTCATACTTCATACTGCTGTGTAGTGAGCACTAGATATCATAGCCCTGGGATCACAGCTGCACCTGAGAGAGGAAACGGCGGGTTTCCAGAGCAGAAAATCAATACGACACGGGGCAGAGGAGGCTGCGGTCTTGCAGTAAAAAAATAAGGCCTTCAAAATCACAGCTATTTTCGTGCGGGGTGATAAAGTACTGATGGGATCGAGCATCGGCATCAAAGTTAGGGAGCATCTTCACACTGAATGTTACAGCAAATAAAATGTGTTCTCGAAGCCACTGCTAACAGGACTGCATCAACTTTCCCACTAAAGGCTTAAATGATGTTCGGTGCCAGTGTATTTGAACACGTTTTAACATGTTCTATGCCAGTGTTGTTTAACTTCATGTGATTTCTACTAATCGGATAACTAATCAGTAGTCGCATTTTAGTCATTTTAACCACCTCTTGTTTTTATTTGTATTTAAGTGTTTTAGTACCTAGTACATGCAGCCAAATATTAACATAGCTGTAACACTAAACCAGAATAGTGTTTCTTGCGATTCTTACAGTATTATGCCAAATACAAGCAAGGATATCTTCATAATGAGAACAAAGTAAATGAGACATAAAATTAACAGAACACTATTAAAAAAATTATCTTAAGATTATCTTAAAGGGGCCAAGTCCACTCCAAAGGGAGGGATTTCGTTTTTAAAAAATCCCTTGTCAAGAACTACAACGAATGGCTCGTCTGGACTACAGCATTGGTTTCCGGGCTTTGTGATATCACAAAGCGGCTCATTGGAATATCATTACAAATAATTCCCGCCTACAGAAATTCGAATGGTTTGGGGGTGGGGAGGGGCGAGGTTGTGGTTAGAACGCTTGGTTGAGTGAGTGCATTAGACGAGACAATGAAGAAGAAGTGCTGCTGCAGAGTTAGTGCATCAGAGAAAACCAAGAAGAAGACCTGCTGTGCTGTAGCTTAAAATTTTTGGCATGTCTAGAACAATTCTTACAAACATAACACGACGTAGCTGGGCGCCGCGGACAGACGCCGAACTGTGCCGCCGGTGTGCCTACACTCATAGAAAATAATGTATTTGAATTTTAAAGACGTGGTGCGACACGACGCTGTGCTTCTCGTCCGGTGTGCGACCACCTGAAACGCTGTTTTTTTCACCTCCGTGCCCAAACATGAGGTGCCTGCCGGATTTGCCTAAAAAGTTTTTGTTGAAAGACGGAGCAAGGGGCGTGGCAGTACTGAAACACTGTCTAAGCTGTTCGCCAATCACAACGCACTGGGACAGCTAACCAATCACAACACATTTTGTTTTTCAGAAGGCGGACCTTCATCAAAGCCGGAACTAATCGAGCTGTTTGTGCCAGCCTGGGGAGAAAGGTATTGTAATAATGTAAATTATGTGAAAAATAATGCGTTTTTCGAATCACCAAGCATGAGAGCATGTTCTAGTACACCCCCAAAACAAAATCAAGACTTTGTAAACGAGCATAATAGGACCCCTTTAAGATTTAAGATTTTCTGTCCTGTTTTTGACCCCCCCTCATCAGAACGCTCTGTTTGAATAGGCGTGACAGATTGCAGACTCAGAAGTAAACGCCCAATGCTATGA